AATGCCAGAGAGTTTGTGGAATAAATCCCAAATGGAAAGCTTAGAGATAAAAGAATACAGCTAATTTTGAACACTAAATCCACAAGTAATTATCTCTAAAATTGCAGAAGTGCCTTAAACCAACCAAACGTATCCTCCCACACAAAACAACAACAGCAACACAAGAACCAGAAAATAATCCTACTCATACTTGAATGTTAGTCGAAATAAGTCTGTCAAAAATATACACCAAGAAGCACAAAGGGGTAAGGGATTTTATGTTGCTTCAGGCTAAGCACCAGTGTTGAAATAGGCTGAACATTACTTGTCAGCTGATGAAATACAGCTCATGTATTCAGATAGGAAACTGACCTTCCTGGAACAGGTGCGGCCTGTTGCAGGGAGAGGGAATGACCACTGTAGGCAATCACATGTTTTCCATTAGAGCAATATTGAAGCACCTGATGTACTTGTCACTGAGATGTCCCTCTGCAAAGATCTAAGAGATCTGTCTCAAGGTGACAAAACAAATGGCAAATCCAGGACTCAGATTTCCCTAGGAGCCTCAGCACTTACAGTTTGCTATTTCTCTGAACAACTTATCCTCACATCACATTAGCTTCGCAAGTCAAATGAGAAGACTGCAACATTCACACACAGAAAATCATCTGTAAGGTAAAAATACTTTTTAGCAAAGTATTTGAGACATTAGCGTAAATCTTCCATGCAGTACCACATACTGAAATTGTAAGAGTACTAACTGCTACCCAAAATATCTGAGCGTGTGTATGTTTTTTTTTTTTTTTTCCACACAGATAAACACCAAGTAGTTAAAAAATAAAGGAGTTCTTGCTGCAGTTACAACATTACAATTACCAACTTAAGGAGAGCACCGTAATAAAAAAAAAAACTAGGAAAGGAGCAGCACGCAGTTCTGGAAGTTGGAGCCTCAGCTAATAAGACAACGGAGATTAACTGAGATTAAACTGTCAGTTAGGGTATGGCCCTCATTCAGACCACTGATATCACAGTAGGGGTGTGTTGGCTGAATATGAGCAGCTGCAAGGAAAGCAAATGATGAACTCTCTCCTTGCCAACAAATGTCAAATCCCTAAACATTTTGTTCAGTTAGTATGTATTTGCCAGCTAGCAAACACTGTGAGCAGCAAAGCATAGATTTAAGCTCAGTTTCTTTCCTTCCTTGAATAACACGTGTAACGAGATAGGACTGCCCATTTCCATTGCGTGTCTTTCCATTTGCAACCTTACAATATTATGAATCATTTTTACTATTCTAATTTTAAATAAGAACTAGACCTTTTCCAGGGAGGAACTTTTCCTACTATTAATTATCTTAACTGGATTTTGCCTAGATTCTCACAAAATCTTCTCTCGTCTGCATTCTTCCATCCATTCTCTTGTACTGGTCTTGTTTGTGCACCCACGCCACAGGATAAAAGGACACATCTTTGCAAGCATGAAAGTTAGATGTCTGGTTGCAGAGGAAAGAATACTTATTAACTCATTGATTTAGAACGTCTTGGTTGTCTCATTAAGCAGCAGTTGACTCCATGGATCCTAAATAAATGGTAAATTGGAATAGAATTTTAAAGGAGGTTTCTTTGGCAGATATTTTTTATCTGTGTGTTTTTTTACTTTCTAGGCAAAGCAGAAATGCTAAGTCATGTCCTGAAGCAGTGATGGAGCACCTGGTGGGAAAGCAGGGCTAATCCAGTGGAGCTCAGGTGCATGCAATGTCACTGAATGACAGGAAGGAGTGGAGCTAGGATCCACCCCTTCCCAGACCTCATTTAAGGGTTATCAGGGAAAGGTGAGGGCATCTTTTGTTGTTTAGTAGATGAGGCCTTTTGAGGGTAAGTAGTGTCTTTATTTGTGGCATTGTTGGCTTTGGGTAAATCATGATTTGCTTCAGCCTTGGGCTTTGCTGTTTTGCTATTACTGCTATACTTTCTGTTGTGTCATATTCTTTTTTAGACCTTGTTTATGGGTTGGCAGCAGCAGTATGGGTATCTTGTTGGAGATTCCTGCCTATTGGATGTATTCTAAGGGTAAGCAGTTTTTCTTTGTTTCTGCATCAACAGCTGTTGCATTTGGGCTTGCTCTCATCTTGCACAGCACTGAATAAACAGTACCTGCTTTATAATCTTACTTGGGTTACAGAGTTTGATTCTGCATGTCAAGGGAAAGAACAGCTGAAAGAATCTGGGATGTAATCTTTCACTGCCTGCTCCGTCACAGAAGGGTCTGAGTGTAAACTGTGGCAATAATAGAAAGGTCCTCAGAGGACCTTTTTTACTATCAAGCATGGGAAAGGGGGAGAAAAAAAGTGTTTTCCCAAAGCTTACTATTATTATTATTATTATTATTTCTTATCAGTCAAATCAGTATTTTTTTTTTTTAATTGATAGTCAGTTAATTTTCCCAAGGCAAGTCTCTTTTTTTCCTCACAACAGAACTGGTAAGCGATCTCCTCATTCTTCTGTTGCCCAGAGATTTCTAGCTTCAGTTTCCAATGAAGAGGTGCACAGAGAGAAAGGCCAGATGGGAGCACATCTGTTAGCTGCAGCTAACTCACCGCAGCATCTGAATGCATTCACAGACACACAGCCATTATGCTGGAAAGAAACAGAGCAATCTAACATTGCTCTGAGCTTTGCCCTAGTCGCGATTGTATTGCCAGAAAAAAAAAAAAAAAAACAGAACCATGCTTCTTGTCTGTCTCCGTGGGAGTAAAAAATAGATAGCAGATAAGTAGGTCTCCCTTAAGGCTTCTAACTTAGTTTAGAATATCATTTTGAGTGTGACTGAAATTGTACAAAAATGACAGTCTAGAAATGAGAAACTGTCTTTTCCCATCACTGAATCATTTGCGTGAGGGAATACATCTAGAAGACACTGAGCGTTCAGTGGCTGTGAGTACTTTTATTCACTTCCCATTAACTCAAATTATTTCACAACGAAGCCAGAGAATATGACTTCTATGACAACCAAGAACTTCCTGCCATGAATCTGCATTGTGACCTATGTGATGTTAAGTACCCTGTGGAGGCTTACTTTGAGCGCCTCCCCAGCGCTCCAGCGATTCTTCGTCTCTCCTGGTTCTCTTGCCAAATGCCGCTGCTGCTGCATAGTTGCTGTCTCCTTCTCAAGAAAATACAACGTCTCATCCAAAACAGCATTCCAGTTTTGAAAGCTGTCCCGCCGTGTCTCCACGAGGGAAGTAAGAGGACACGCCTGAAGTTACACAAAAGAAGGGAGGAAATGCACGCGCCGCTGCCGCAAGCGGGAGGGACCGAAGTGCCCGAAAAATCCCCCCGGGGCGTCGAGGCCGCCTCGGGGTCGCGCTCTGTCTCGGCCGGATCGGCGGCGGCACTAAGCTGATCGCGAAGAAACGGAGGCGGTCGAGCGGCGGTCCAACGCGATTTCTAAGAAAAGAAATCTCACCGGGTGGTTCAAAAACGCTCATCGCTTCCACCGTCTCGCCTGTTCGGGCTGAAGTTCCGCTGCAACCCCCGCACAGCCTGCAATCGAGGAAAGCTTTTATGTCAGCAGTTCGCGGCGTTGCTTCCGACTCCCAGCACCATCGAGGCTGCAGGAACACGGCTCCATCCGCCTTGTTCCCGCTAATGAGAACTGGAGTAACCGAGACACCTGCTAAAAAGCTGTAGGGACTGGGGCTAACAAAACCCCACAGCCGCGCTAGCGCTCGGGTAACCGAGCAGCAGCCCGCTCCGAAACCGCGTCGGTGGACGTAGAACGGTGCTTTGCCGCCTCCGAGAAACCGGAGTCGGCACGGCAGGACCCCCCCGCCGGCTTCGAAATGCTCGCTGCCTCCGCGGTCCCACTGCTGCCGGAACGGCTCACCGCTTCGGGCTGATCCTCGCCGCGTGAAATCCCGCTGTGGCCTGAAACAAAGCGACACAACAGAGAACGTCGCATAGAATCCCGAGGCCTCACGTTAAAAACAGCCCCTCGTACCGCTATTCAACCCCAGCGACGCAAGGACCGGACGACAGAACGCAGACCGCACCCGCACGCAGCGAATCCCAGCGGCTCTCTCATGGCTCCCTACGGCCTCCGGCGGAGCTTAAGAGGCGTCGGGGCTGCCCCGCCCGGGGATGCCGACGAGGCGCATCTGTGGCCGGCCGGCCGCGGCTCCGCCGCACCTGCGAGTCGTTGCCTCGTTAGCGCGGGCGGGGCTCGCTCGGACCGGCTGGGGATCCTGACGGTTAGACGCGTGGGCTCTAGATCTGACTTAGGGACTGAAACTGCACTTCGGTACAGTTTGTTATGCGCTTTCTCTTCGCACGTCACTGTTGAATTCATTAATAAGTCAAATAATTGCGCGTGATTTGAACGGATCACGTCCGACACCCTTCCAAAGAACATCCCCAGCCTCCGTTTTCAGAGGCCTCGCTGTATGCTTTCTGTCTCTGCCCTGAATGCAGCTGTGTGGACGAGTAGAAAACAGTCCCTCTGACTCCGCAGTTGTAATGACAAGGTCTTGAAAGAAATGTCGGCGTGGAATGTCTGTGACGGCTATTGCCCGCAGCCACTTTTAAACTACTGATATATCTAAACTTTCTCATGAAAACACCTGCAATTTGGTATAATAAATACAAGACGGTTTCACGGTGGATTGCTTAAATTGCAAAGAGCGCGTCTTATTGACGACTATACTAGCGCGCTAGGAGCAAGCTTCTGAACGATGCTTTCTCCGCTCCGTTTCGAATTGCTGCGGTAATTCCTTGTTAAAGCAAAACTACCTAAAACATCACCGACTGCAATTCCTCTTTGAATTGGCTGTAGCACCTTCAAGCTGGTTAACGATGAATTTTTCTAATTCTGAAAGACAAAGGTAATCTACAAGTGAAGGGGAACTCCTTTGTAGGGTTTCGTGTGTGTGTTCATCAGCTCTGATTGATCGCCTGCCTGCACATCTATCTAAAAAAAAATAAACTGCAAGTGTTTTCTCGGGAAGAAACTGATGGAAAAATAAATTACCGTATATCAACCAGGTCTCATTTTTTATTTCTAAAAAAGGAATAAAACAAATTCAGACATCCTCATTTTGAAAAGTTAAACACAGCCTATCCCTTTTTAACAACATAAGACAATTTGTTCTGTTTCCATTGATCAGGCAATTTTAACTTATGACAAGTTGTGGCTGTGACAAATCAACCAGACCTCGCTGTGGCATGAGAAGTGCCTTTAAGTGTTCTCCCTTTGAGAGCGGTTCGATACCAAATACGATTCAGCCATACCATTGAGCGCGTTTAAACCGCTGACATTTGTTTCTTTAGTACCATCCTTTATCATTTGACTGTTTTTATCTCACGCTGACTCTAGCCACGTCTATGACTCCTCATGGAGCGAATCCTTACGTTTGCTATTTTGCTGATTTGTTGGAATAGAGCGATTCCAACAAATGATGTACAGCCCTTCCTACAGTAATGGACGTGCTTCGACAAAGGATAGAGCGGAGTTTCTTTATTTCTTTAAATTAGATGGTTTACAAAATATGGGAAGAGTGACTGTGCAACAGCATTTTGGACGCTTTCAGAAACCAAGGCATTTGTAAAAAAAACAAAAAAAAAACAACAAAAAACACTCATGCGAAACATACAGCGGAGAGGAACAGATGACAATGATGTCTCCAGAAAATACTTCTATTATGTGACTGGTTAGGAAGGAAAACGGAGACAAAAATGAACAGGGAGTAAATATGGCCTTTAAACTGAGCTTCTCAGCTCCCCGCTTTGTCTCCACTTGAAATTTGCTGCTTAATGTAACTCTATAGTTTTGCTTGTTCTGACGGGGAACGTTTATTGGACAGGGGCTGGAGTTGCGAATGAGAGAATAGGAAGAGATAGGCGTACGTATCAGATGGGCTTTAATCACCTTTCTCGACATAGACTGACTTACCAGGGAGACTTATATATAAAGGAATAATTCTGAAGGGTTCTTTCTCATTTTTTGTTCCTGTGCTTCGCCGCTGTCTCCCTGGATTTACGTCCTCGTGCTCCTATTTTAATATAAGAATTTGAACTCTGAATTTTAATTTCGGTATTCAACAACAACAACAAAAAGCTTAAATCCTGAGTGCACTTCATCAGCGTTTCCTTATTTGAAAAGCTATTGTATTGATTTTTTCTACATTTTGCTAATGGTGCCAGGCTATAGGAACCGTTTGAGTTTTGAGTATGCAGGTGAGCAATTATATTTAGAAATTTAGATAAATAACAGACCCCTTGTCCAGTAATGGCACATAACCTACTTTTTTAAAATCGAGCTTCCAGTTTTACATTTGGTATTCCTAACTCAGACTGTTCTGGTATCTTGGATATTAAGTAGCAACTGACTAAAGGTTTCCCTGTAGGAAAGACCTGTTCATAGACATTAGTCAATGATGAGTGCTTTCTCCTTGGGTTGCTATTTTATTCAAATAAATGTGTCAAGATAAAGCCAGAACTCTGACTTAAGTAGTGAGAATTCATGTGGTTTTTTCACTTCCACTTACTGCTCCTTTTAATATATCCACATTTGAAGAATAGAACAATTTAACTTTGTCACGCTTTGAAAAGATGGAAAATCACTGCTGGGTTGTGAACGGTCTACGCAAGACCGACGTGTCGGGATATTCTTAGCCTGCACTTCCAGAAAGCAGATGGAGGAAACTACAGATTGTTATGCCGTCAAATAAGTGTTGAGTTCCATTCTTCCCCCACATAAAATTTAAATATATAAGATGCTTTGAATGCTCAGGACGGTTGGCCTTCAGAGTTCAAAGCCTCCCTTCAAAGGCTCGGTGATTTTTGACAGTATTATCCGCCCAGCCCGGATCTGCACGGAGTAAGCCCTGCTGCACATAGCAAAGCAGATAGCCGTGGGACAGAGGAGCAACAGAAGGCATGATCACACCAGGCCCTTAGTGGCGTCTGCTGGCTAAAGAGAGCGGGGTGAGAAATTTCTGTGTGATGTTCTTGCAAGATGGCATTTCCATCAAACCTTAGGCCGCGATCGCGGCTTCCTTCTCGCCTGCACCACCAGAGACCTTGATGGCTGTTACAGAGACGTAAGTCTTTATAGGGGGAAAAACATTGCTTTCTGATCCTTGAAACTGTATCAGCCTGACTGGAAATGCTAAATCAGGGCCTCAACCACTGATAGAGCACCTGGTGGGAAGGCGGGGCCAGCCCAGGTGCGTGCAATGCAAGTGAGTGACCTGAGTGGCTGGAGCCAGGATCCACCCCTTCCCAGCCCTCATTTAAGGATTGGCAGTAGGGAGTAAGGGTTTTTCTTGCTGGATGTCCCTTCCAACTATGTAAGTATTTTAAAGGTAAGAGCTCTTTTCCTTTGTTATGCCTGCAGCTGCTGCGTTTGGGCTTCTCCTTGTTTGCTCTAGCTAAAGACTTTATCATCCTACTATTATCAGGTAGTTTCCATCCTATTGTAGTGTGATGCAACCCAATCCTCATAGAGTGGTATCTTATCCTGTATTAGGAAGTTTCTTATGAAATCTGAACAATTAGCTGTATTTTCTGCCTATTTTATAGCCTAACTTGTGGCCCTGAGTATTTTGCCAGTCTAGGTGATACATATATGTTTGGTCTCCAAATAAAAGAGGTTTAGTTTCTTCTGTAGAAACATCTTCAGTGACAATAGTGAGATAGACGCAGTGCTGCTTTGAAAGCAGTTGTTTATCTGCTTGCTGCAGAGCAGTTGGAGGGAGGTGGAAGAAGGTGGTGGTTTTCTTAGAATACAGCACAGTCAAAACAGCACAATACTGAGAATGGTTGAATAAGAGTGCTCTTTCCATCATCTTTGGACAGATGCCCTTCCTGCGGTATTCAGCTTAGGGATGCCTATAGTGACTGTCATAATGATGTCTGTGGGTGGCAGAAGTCAGCTAGTTATTGGACTGAGATGGATGGAGTTGTCTTTTTTTTTTCCTTTGATCAGTTAGTTCGGTGCTGGCATAATTTTTAAGATGACCTAAAAATATGACTCCAATGGGAATGATATTTCAAAGCATGAATTACAGACTCTGGTTGCAACATAATCTCTAGAAGGATAATACGCTGCCATAACTACAATGTAAGGGCACAGACAGAATTGTTTCCAGAGGGCTTATGAAAGGTACGGACGGAAACTTAAAGCACTCAAAGTTGCTAAAGCAATTGGGGCTTCAGTAGTTATCTAAAGGGAATATGTTCCCAGACTTTATGCTGACAGCAACTGAACATAACCAACAGACAAAGGAAATGCATGAAGACTTTTCAATTTCAGAGGTCCTTGAGAGGTGGGCTGCAGATTTGTGACCGGCGCTCTTCTCTCTGACATAATGGTCAGACTAAATGATGTATGACAAACTAAATGTGCCTTAGAGTCCAAATTCTCTGTGACAACGGTCCTGGCAAGTATTTTGCTTGCCCTAAGCTTTCTAGGAGTGCATGTGTTCCAATGTGTGTTCCAAAAAAAAACAAAGGCCTGACATTTGTCTCTCTGGTGTCCCTTTCTATTTTTGGGAAAACAGGGCAGGAAAACTCACGCAGTTTGCATGTACCTGGTCTGAATTATAGACTGTCATCTTAAATCCTCTTATGATTTCACCCTCTGGGGATGCTCCTATATGATTGGTTCAAATCTGTTCTGGGAACCGCTTTCTCCATGAAATGTCAGTTGTTGAGATTGACCACCCTTATAGTCACCGTGGCAAAGGCGTATGCTGAGATGTCACCTTTTGGGCAGACTTCTGATGCCTGCACAAAGTAAAGCGGGAGAACAGTGATGAGGGAATATTCCCTTCTTAGCTGCAGCTGTCTCCTTCCTTAGTTCTGCGTTCGGGTCGTCTTCCGCATGCACAAAGCACCCTGACACAGGACTTGTGTACAAGCATTCACAACATTACCTTTCCGTAGAAATATTGGTCTGCTTTGCACTGGACTTCATGGTGATTAGAAAGTGCGGTAATAATCCAGTCCCAACCAAGCTCTGCTGGAAAAATGTTGCTTTGTGAGCTTCGTATTTTACCCTGCGTAAAAACAGTTCTCTAAAGACAGGTAACTTGATACAGACAAGATAATTGCTTGCCTGAAGTGTTGACAAAATAAAAAGTGAAAATGTACACTAAATTTGCTGGGAGTGTGTATGGTAACTGTTGAGTCACAGCCTGAAGCACTGATTGATCACCTGGGGAAAGGACCTGGTCAGCCCAGAGAGCACAGGTGAAGGCAATTCAGCTATGTGACAGGAAGGGTGGAGCCTGGCTGCACCTCACTTAGATGACATTTAAGGGCTGACTGCTGCCAGGGAAGGATCTCTGTGGTTGGAGATCCCTCCCTTCTGGAGTTTTTCCCTGTGAGCCTAGATCCTGAAGTGGGTGAGCGTTGCTTTCCTGTTTATTCTTTTGCTGTTCTGCTCCTGTATTGCCTTTTTACTGTGCTAATTTTTCCTACTGTAACAGTACCATAGGTGTTTGAGTGCTGCTGTTCTGGAAGGGTGGCAGTTCTGCAATTCTGATAGAGAAGCTGTACTTCAACAAATTGAGGCTGGGTGAAATTTGAAAGAGCAAGATGACAGATTTGTTCTCCGATTTGGAATTCTCCTTTGCTGTCTAGATTGTTTTTGCTTAAGCTGGGTGTAGGTTGTGCAGATGAGCAAATGTAGTTAGTGTTTTCCTTAACAGAAAGATGATATGTTTTAATCAATTCCAACATGCAGACCGACTCACCTCCTTCATTCTAAGACTTTTGTGCTGTCTGAACACAAAATCTGTTATAACAAAACACATCCCTAACTGATGTGTTTGTGCTATGAGGGCTCAAAGAAACAAAAAAAAAAAAGCGCTCATCTGTTGCTGCACCCCTCTGAGGAGTTACTGCTCAATTATTTAAAGCGTGTCAGACTTTGGGCAGTGCTAAGTTAAATTCCTTACCATGCTTGTTGTCTCCCATATGAAAAATTAGTATGTTCTCTGGTTTGGCATTACAGCTCTGCAATGGAAAAATATGATGAAATTTCCTTAAAAAATAGTTGTCTTTTTTTCTGAGGATGGAAAGAAAGATCCTTGTCTTGAAGTAGATGCAGTTAGAGCTAGCAGCAGTAGCCAAGCAGCAGCATAATTTAGACTATATATTAGGGGGATTCTGCAAATTGTTTCTCAACTCCCATATGTATCACTGCATGGATTGCAATGCCTCTGGTCACACCAAGATAAGGAACCACACTCACAATTAGCGGGAGATTTCCCCATGAGGGGTCTGCCAGGAAGGGGGTGGTAGCAGGGTAAACTGAGCACAGCTGGGGCCCTCAGTATATACATGAACTCTTAGTTCATGCACTTCTTTCTTGAGCTGATTTGGACTTTTTATAACTGAAATGGCTCCGGTGCTGTTGCTGATTTCAAAGGAACCTTCGCCTCCTGCAATAAAACAAGATAGTCTAGTTAAGTGCTGTTCTTCCTGTATCTTGAACCAGTGTGATAAACTAACTGTATGCTTTGTTAAGCATGTCTATCTGTATGTGTGTCTACTCCTATCAGTAGATCTGTGGCAATTTTTGAAAACTGAAGCATTTCTATGCCTGGTTGTAGTGTGGTAAAAGCACAGATAAGGGCCAACAAGAGTTTCCTCTTCTAGGAGCAGCTAGGCAGAGCTCTGACAGTGCAGGTGGCCAACCTTGGTTTCCTCTCTCCTGTGTTGGCAAGGTTCCCTTCGAGCCTCAGCAACCGGGCCTGCACATTTGGTATTCCTTCTTGTTATGCTGTCATCTTTAAGTGCTAGTTTAGACAAAAAAAAAAGACCAACTGATTTTTATTTGCAAATGTATACATAATTAAGTTTCAGAGCAACAAGAACATTGCTCTTGCTAATATCAGCTAAGGTGAGAAGTTTGACTATTTATCCTAAAGAAGCACAGTCACTCTTTCTGTGAAGAGTGGCTTGGGAGAAGCATCTTCTGGCTTTAAACATCCAATTAGTTAGAAAGCATGCATCTTCTTGCAAGGCTGGCCTGCATGAAAGGGGATTTAGGAGAATCTAGGGTAAAAGCCAGGCTTTTTTCACAGAGGTTGAGACAGCTCCGCAGGCAGGATGGGGCTACAGGCTGATTTTGATCCCTGTGCCATAACTTCCAACTTTCTGAACAGAAAACCAGTTACAGGGCTTTGATCCCTTTCCACCTGGTGAATTTGCCCTGCTTGAGGAGGGGATGGCTGACAGCTGGGGGCCCATCCTGCCCTATGCGCCCCTGCATGCAATCTCACCCGTAGGATTGTCCGCAGCTTCTTCTTGGTTGCAGAATCTACCATTAAAAGGAGGTGAGGGAAAAGCTCTTAAAATGAAGGAACTTGAGGCTTTTAGAAAAGAGGACAATCATCTGAAACCCCAGTCGCTTTTATTTCTCTATAACTCGATTCTAATGTTTATTTTTAAACCATCTGATAGAGTCCCATTTTGCTAATACTTGTGGTAACTGCAACTTCATTAAAGTATATTGGACATGACATTGAACAGATTGACACATCTAGGGGGTCAATTATTAAGAAGTGTTGGCCTGGAAAGCACATCCTGACTGAGAAGGAGCTGAAATCAATAGTGGTTGCAACCCACAATACCTCATGTTAGCGTCTGCATACTGCAGGGAAATTGTATATAGGGCAATAGTTAACTCTGGGTATGTAGTGCTACATGTGTTCCTCTCTTCTGCATTTTTAGAGGGTTAGAGTACTTTCTCAAGTAGTCTTACACACTCTGGATAGAAAAGGCTTAAAAAGAATAAATGATTTCTATGTACTCATTTACCCCCACCCACTTCAGCCTTCCCTTCTCCAGGTTGGATGGTCCCAGATCTCTCAGCCTTCCCTCATACAGGAGGTGCGAGGGCCCCTCTTCGTCCTTGTGGCCCTCTGCTGCACTCTCTCTACATGTCTATAACTGGGGAGCCAAGAGCTGCATGTGGTACTTTAGCCATGGCAGAGTAGAGGGGGAGCATTGCCTCCTTTGACCTGATGGCCATGCTCTTTTCTATGTGCCCCATTTCCTTAGACATGGCCCCTTGTTCACCTGCCTACCTTGACGTTCCTTCAACAGTTTTCTCCCCTGTTGAGCTTCTTTCTGTCCCGCTTCCTTGTTTGCATTCCTCATTCTCCACCTTTCTTTTCAACTTCTCTCATTTTTCATCTATTTTTCTCTTCTGCAACCCCTACTCTAGCTATTCCCTTGCATCAGGGGAGAAGAAACTTGAGCATGGGTCCCATCCCACATCAACACAAAATCTGAAATCTGCTTCTCTCTGGCCACTCAAGTCTTTGCTTTTTAGATGATGTAACAAACAAAATTTGGGGATAATTTCATGAGTAGCTCTGCAAGTAAACTGGACAGTTACTGTATGAAATGCTGGGGTCCTGGGAGTCTGGGTACCCAGTCATGGTGCAAGTCCTCTTTTGAGGTAAGAGAGAACCAGGTGGCTTGGAGGTAAATGGTTGATTTCACCAGCTAATGAGTCCTCAATTCAGATAAGAGCATAAGTACAAAACTTGAAAGAGAGGCTACAGCCACCCTCAGAAGAGTTAATGAAAAGCATTGCTGCTTTGATAATACCTGCTTTCTTACAGTATGGTTGACCTCTTCTCTAGTAAATACAATTTCTTCCAAGAAACCAGAGATTCAGCCATTTACCCACTCCAATGAAAATAATAATTAAAAATAGTCCTTTTAATGCCACATCTGGGTATCCCAAAGCATTTTCTCATTTCCTCAATCGAATTAAAGAGATGTTCAGTGGCACTGAATGTGTCTTCCTTCAAGTTTTCTGAAGTGACAAGCGGGCTACTGATGCCTAACAAATCGACTGCGTTAACAACTCCAAGCACAGTGCTGCAATTCAGTGAATCCTATCTTATTTTCTGGTAGGCAGGGCCCTGGAGTTGTTTGAGATATATAATGCTATTCCATCTGAGTTTGTCAGAGCGTTATCAAGCTCTAGGCTCTTCTCTCTCTAATTTCACGTCACATCTAGATTTGACTTCCCCTCAGAATTCATATAAGCCAAGTCTACTCACCGCTCACGATGCAGTAATGAATGCTATTCGGCTTTCCTCTGTCTCCACCGAGTGTGACAACAGTGAGGACCTCAGAGCCCTGTGGAGAAATAGGGCGTTATGGTTTGTGTGTTGAGATCAAAAAGCAATGAAAGTGCAGTGGTGTATTAATAAACTGAATTTCAGAAAGCCTTTCTGCAGTAATGTGTAGAGGGAATGGCGGTACTTTTGCATGAGATATATTGACTTGCAACGAGAAAAATTGTTCCTGCCAAGAGGCTGTGCCTGTTTGCCCAGGACCCAGCCTTTGTCCTTCTCTATAGATTAGGAGTAACAAATCTGAGACCTGAGGATTGCTTTGGTTTGCTACCAGCATGCCCTCTGGCAGTCACTGGAACTCATACTATTGCTGTGTGTCCCACAGTGTGCTGAGACTCCCATAGCTGCTGAAGAATAGTCTCAGCACCACCTCATCAGGTTCAGACAGGCAGCAAATGTGAGCCAAGGGTCAGAAAGCAACTTGCTTCGTTGAACACATAGGGCATAAAATAGCAATGAAGATTATGATGATTTAACCATTCTCAAAGCCTTTGCTGTCTTTCTGTGTTAGGAAAATGTCCAAGGCCATACATGGATGTGGTCTGGAAAACATTTATTTATATGGCTGTTCCTATTGACTGAAAAGGATGAAGGCTGTCAGCTTTAAAGTGCTCACAAAAGTTGCGGTGGGCTGCACAATTTAGGTGTCTGAATTGAAGTGTTATTATTTGGGACTGTGAAAACAAGAAACGCTCAAGAAACTGTCAGTTAAACACAAATGGCAGCAGGGAATGTTTTTGTTCCTTTCATTCGCTCATCCCTTGAGTAAATTTTTTAAATGAGAGCAAGTTTCCAATAGAGCAATTGGAAATACAAAACTGTATTTATTACGATTCATGCTGGAAGCTGCAATAAAATTTGCCAATGGAGCAAAATATAGCGCAGTCCCTTTGAAAGTGACACAGGACTTGTTAATCCTGACAACTCCACAAAGGAAAAGGCAAGTTTATGGAATTCAAGTAGAAAATAAAAACAATGCTGAACTCTTTTATTGCACTTCTCTCTGTGAAATTAGATCTAATAGCAAATCTCGCACTTAAAAGACTTGTCGGTGCTTAGATCATTATAATATCATACTTGCCTAAGCTATGAGCTCAAGGCTGGCCATAAGTAACAGTTATTGACTTTCGTTTCATGCTAGATGCTCACTTCTTTGAGCACCTGATAGTATTTCAAGATCTACGTGTAACTCTCAGAATAATTCTATCCTCCATACATTCTGAACATCTGCAAAGCATGCAAATGTTACTCAGCCCTGCTGAAATGTAACAGCCTATGAACTGAGCTTTTGCCTACTGTCACACATTTGTGTCACAGTTTTTGACAGAAAGATCTGCATTATGCCAATTCAAGTGAAGAATGAGGCAAACAGGGTGCTAACATTGCCTATAGTCTAAAATTGGATAATTTCATAAGTAGGTACCATTTCTCATGCTCTGTATGAAGCAAATTTTAATTAAAACATGTATCAGGGTGAAAATTGATCCCTGTTCAGTAGTGTGCCTCTGCTTAGAGTTGCACCTCAAACTGATGAGTTTGCAGCTTTGGGAATGATATGTGTCTGGAAGTATCACCAGCATCAAGACTACTGTATGGCTCAAAGTGCCATGATACACTGACTGGATAAACTCTACGCTCTCTTTTGAGCAGACCTGACAGTAGGATTTTCTGAGATGGTGGCACAGCCAGGAGATCTCTGTATTCTTTAGGCTGTCCATGATATATAAGGAGGTGTATCCTCAGCAATAGGCATAGCAACAAACACAGTTTTAGGACAACTCGTCTGTGGTTCTCCTCAGTATGCCCCTGCTTT